GAACCACCCTAGGTGTGTTGAAAATTTCCACGCGCTTCTTTCTGTATAACTATCTCCACTTTGTAATTCCTTCACAACTTATCAGTAATTTTCTTTGGTAAAACCATTGACCAAATTATTAAAATAGAAAACAACTGAGTGCATAGTCAATTTAATAAAATATAAACATTTAAAGGTTCAAAACAAAAGTTATTCGAGTAAAGTAAAATGTATCAAAAGGTGTTTCGATTGTCGTAAGTCTACCTGCGTGACAGACCACGAGAAAGAAAGAGATAGGCAGAAAACGATAAAGCAGAATAATATTAAAGAAAATATATGGGACCGTGGTGTGCGGATAAGAGAAAAACACATTTTCGAGATTAAAAAAGCCGTACGTCGTAACTTAGTTGGTGCTTCATTTGAAATTCGCTCCGGAGACAGTAACAGCAACAAACAAGCAATATTAAAGGGAACAGATACTCCAGATGTCACGTTAAGACCATTTCACTGTATTGCAAATGTGACTTTTGAAAGCGATTTTATGTTTGCTCCTGAACAACAGTTATAGTGTAGACGGGGGAAAATTCGAATACCGAATGTGCAATATCATTCATAACTACCGACTACCGATATCCCCGCGCACATTATTCGACTCCGCGCGATCAAATTAGATACTCGAACGAAATATACGAGCGAAATAATCGAATTCCGGGATGCTTTGAATCTGATCACATTTTCATTACGCCAACGAATGACAACACGTGTCCTTTTCTTTCATACAAAACTTGAATCCTCGGTCCTGTCTCTGACACACAAAAAGGAGATTATGAAAACTAGTAAAAACTTCTTTGGTTAAAACTCGGTTTTCCCAGCTACTTGTCAATGATCATCGACGACCACATAAAACTAATTTTTTTATATCCCTAACGACACTTTTTTATTCTGGATAAAAGGCACCCTATGTCATTTTCTATACCCTTAACAAAATTTACACAAAATATCATGACAGGTTTTAACCGCGGCTTCGCTCACGTTGATGTTCTAAGTACTGGTCACTGACGACCACATAAAACTGACTTTTCTATCCTTCGGGAACACTATTTCATTCTGGATAAAAGGCATCCTATGTCCTTTTCTATACCCTTAACAAAATTTACACAAAATATCATGACAGGTTTTAACCGCGGCTTCGCTCACGTTGATGTTCTAAGTACTGGTCACTGACGACCACATAAAACTGACTTTTCTATCCCTCGGGAACACTATTTCATTCTGGATAAAAGGCATCCTATGTCCTTTTCTATACCCCTAACAATATGTGTCCGAAATTTTATAACAGATTTTATCCGCGGCTTCGCTCACGTTGATGTTCTAAGTACATGTCAAAAGTCATTGACAAACATCTTTTTTCTGGATAAAAGATACCCTATGCCCTTTTCTGAACCCCTGGCAAGGGTGCACAAAGTTTTATTGTATGTTTTACCCTTGACTTCGCTCGCGTTGATGTCATGAAATTGTCATGATATTACCATTGCAAAAATAACTATCTTCAAATTCTTAAGGCATTAAAGAACCCGATCAGTCAATTTGCTACTGAGATGTTTATCCCAAGACGTCAAATATTTATTTCACCAGACTTGACATTTTCTAAGCAGGATGAGTTCGCACCCTAGTCGATGGGGCAGTATTGCACGGTAATATTATTTAAAAACGTAATCGAATTAAAATATGACACCGTTAAATAATCTCAGAGCCTGCACTTACATTTGCAGTTTTTGACTTTTATTTTAAAAAAATACCTTTAGATAATACATAGTTAGGAAATTGTTCGTTCTGATTTCGTTTCCCTTACATCCAATTTTCTTCAAGATTATTGGAAAATAAATAGCAAGAAGTGTAATAAGATTGGCAATTTTCTTAGTGCCGACATTTTTTACTGCGGATATTTCTTTGGCATTCTGTCTCGTTTTAGTTATACTTTCAACGGAAACTACAACACACTGCCATTAGCGAAATTGTACTGAATCTAAAGAATCATTTGCTAATGGCTTGTTTTACTGTACAGGTCCTCTTAACTTGATTAAATCAAAGAATTATTGTGGTTCCTAATTATCAGGCTGTAATCACTTTATTGTAACTTCCCGTTCGCTACACTTTTTCTTTGCCGCTGCTTAAAAGCTATTTTTAATTAAACTAAGAGGCCATTTCGAAGAAATCCAGAGGCATTGCAACGCCCTGTTCTACGTTCAACCTAAAGGCATCTCATCGATACGGAACAGGACTTTTAATAACAAACCCCTAACAGTTTGCTAAGTCTGAAAGGGCTTTACTAAGTAAATAACTTAACGTTAAAGAAACTTTTAATGGTAGCAAAAAATTATTAATCCTCTCCATTACCGAACCAAGTGCAAACAAGAAACTAACTTATTTACAGTTAATAATAATATTGGATGGTCATTTCAAAAAGACACATTAACGAAATAACAAATTTTAATGTATTATCTAGAGATTTATTACCCTATTACCCTACTAGACTCGCGAATATGTATATCTAATGCTTTCAATACATTGGTTTTAACCCTATTGATAACATTTAACATATTAATAACCCGGTAAACATTCATTGTACTATAAAGAGTCATAAAATGTTTGTTTAGCGCATACACATGCCAGAAATTCAAATTTTCCCTGGCAATTTCCTAATCATAATGGCCGACACAGTAGTGACGTTGCGACAACAATTGAATAAGTATGATGGCCGACGACAACAACAATTGATAAAGCATAATGGCCGACAACAGCAACAATACTACAACAATAAAGGAAAAGATGACCGACAACGACAACAATGGCCTATAAAAGATGGCTGACTGAATGTTTAAAGGAAAATTGTCCTTTATAAGGAGGTTTATTAAAAAACGCATGTATGCGTAAAGTATGAACTTCAGGTATTTTGAAAAGATTTAACAATTATTTATAGGGATATTTAAATAAAATTATCCATAGCATACACATCATACTCGTAAACCACCATCAGTATTTATATTTTATTTCATATTTTCTTATCTATGAACGACTTTTTAACATGTTTTTAATAGAAATGCATCATTCATATTTCCAATCGGGTAAAATTAACCATCGACTTTAAAAGTGAATAGCATTGCCTGAATTGATTTATCTATATCCTTCAATCAGCCCTTATATCCCACTTAGTTAAAGGTACTTTGTTTTTTTTGTTGTTGTTGTTGTTGGGGAAAATTGGTAGGTATTCTTAATCGATCGTTTCTTTGGTGTGCTGAATTCGACGTGGATATAATCTGTAATGGAATTTTCTCCGAAAACCATTAAGATTGTTTAGATAATAAAATATTACCGGAGGTTTTCGTGATGTACTGAAATTGGAAAACGGACTGCTTATTATTTATTAAAATAAACGGTTTTGAGAGAGCATCTATACAAGGCAATACCCCTAAGGCACATAAAGGCAAAATAAAAACAAAGAGACCCAAACGAAATGGCTCGATCAAAATGGCCTCAAGTAGGTGCACTCTACGTACGGAAGTCAATAAAAACAAATAACCTTTGCAACTTATGGACCAGTAGCAAAGACGATGGATACAATCGAATCGAACAACTTAATCGTTCCTTATCGAAAGTCTCTTTTTAAAACTATTAAACTAACTAGATTTCTTACCGGAAGCCGCTTATAAAGGACATAAAACCCATGGAAAGAAAACGAAGTAAATTAAGGTCGCCTACTATCAAGCACATTGGCTGCTTCTAATTTAAAAAAAATGCCATTTTCGAACAAAATGATAATTGTAAAAAGGAAATGGAAAAAGGGGAACAAAAGAAAGGAAATGCAGTCATTAGACGAGGGGTATATACAACATTGAGTTATAGCTTTTTACTTGATGCGTGGGTTTATCAGTGAGTTAATACTCTTTATCTTCTCTTATTGCATTTAATTAGAAATTTGAACCTTTTGGAAGACTTGAGACTTGGAGGTTGTACTGTAGTAATATAAGAAAAGGAGTCTGAAAGACGTTGTCTAGTAGTCGATTAATAAAGAAAGCCTTTTCTTGTAATCGAATTCGAAAATTAACAGAACTATATTTAAAAAGACAATTATTCTCGATGATGCTTTCCTAATTTAATAATTAAAAAGCTTTTCATTGAATTGTGAAATTTCTGTTTCATCAGGATTCCACAGCCCACATCCTTCACTATTTGTGGACAGTAATCTAATCAGGATCTATATACCTGTAGTCCTGTTTTCTTTATGCATTAAAACATGCCCTGCCAACTTATCTCGCCTATTCCTAATTGATTTACAGGTTCTGTTCTCCTACTCTTTCTAATATCTCGTCATTTTTTACCTTCTCTATCCACGGTATCCTCATCATTCGCCTGTAACACCGTTTACATTTCGCACTCGTACCGAGCCGAGCTCCATACATACACCTTTAACAATCTTTTTCGAATTTCTAAATTATCCGTTCGCAAACATAAAAGTGGCTTATCTGCGATATCTCTACTCCTTGCATTCTGAGTTATCTGACTTCCTAGATACTGAAAATCATCGATTTCTTCCAATTTTTCTTCTCCTACCTTTATATTCACTCTCCCTATTTTTATAGCCTTGCGTGCCAATATTTTTGTTTTACTTTTATTTAATTTCATACCATACTGTCTTGTATACGTTTTATTTAAGGCTATCTCTAACTCCTCCTTCTAATCGTTCTAATCTTTTGTTCCTGCATATCTATCTTTAAAGTTGTCTTGTCATTAATAATGTTTATCACGTCTTCGATATATTTAATATCTTGTCCCATTAAACATTGTCATTGGAAAGGTGAGAGAAATAATTAAAAGAAAAAAAGTGATTTTGCTTAGTTTTATTAAACTATACTTACAATATTTATTACAACTAGCTTAGAGAGATGTGTAATAAATCAATCAATAAATAGATAAATAATTATTAATAGAAATAATAAATTAACGTTTTTCTTTTTTTTTTGTCATTTCTTTTGTAACAATTATACAAGTCGTTGCGAAGCTAAGCGCAGTGCGACGATAGGCCCAAAAAAGGCCAGTGTAGATAGATATAAAAAAGACCTCAGACCTCGAGGACGGCCTGGTCGTTCGTGTTTGAATATTATCGACAAGTATTACGTCATTTCAAAATCATTTTCTCTTTATTCATTTTCATTATCATTTTTTTTACCAAGTAACCGTCGTCGTTTTAAAAAAAAAAAAAGAGAAAACACTCATACAAAAAAGTACATCAGGTCAGAAAAAAAATATTTTCGTCGTATATGATAATTGTGTAGCTATATCTAGCAGGAAAATTCATTAATGATAATTAATAGCTTATATCGCGCCAGAAGCTTTAACAAGGGGAGGAATAATCACTTCGAGAGAACACAATAAATAATAATAATAATAATAATATAATAGCAATAAATATGCAGTATTTATAAGACGTACGCAAGTCGTTCATCGTATCCGTTATTAAGCCATGGTAAGGGTGCCGGCACCCATGCCGTATCCGACACCCTTAGGTCCGTAGTTCTTTCCGTAGCAACCGCGACAGTAAATCTCTCCGTTGGGACCGTCGTTGAGGTTCGTGGAATCCAATGATTTTCCGCAATCGACGCAACTGAAGCATCTCTTATGCCAAATGCCGTGCTTGCTGACCATTTGTTCGGCAGCGAAGACGGCGAAACCGCATCGTCGACAACCTTTGCCCGGTGCCGCTCTCGGGCCCGTCTGCGGCCTCGCGTCGTTCGCAGCCGTCGACTGACCGTCGGACGAAAACAGAGTAGGGGTGTGACCGTAGCCGAATCCTTTGGGACCGAACAGCTTACCGTAGCATGATCTGCAATGGATCTCCTTATCGGGACCGTCGCATGCAAGAACTGAATCTAACGGTCTGTGACATTCGGCACAGTTGAAGCACTTCTTGTGCCACATCTGTAAAGAAAAACAATATAAGGTTCCTGGACGTCCTGAACAGCAACTAAGACACTTACAGTTCCTTTAGCAAGTTGTTGTTCAGCTGCGAACACCATACCGCCACATCGCGGACAACCTTGACCTGGTGGTGCCTTGATGGATGTTGTATCAGGATTATAGAAAGGTCTATTGGCAGAGATCTCGTCTTCCCTACAACAACCAAATCCGCAATTTTGGCCACTGCTTCACAAAGAACCGTTTGTAAACTTACGTTAGACCATCAGTCTGAAGAAAACCAGATCCGCAAGCAAATCCATAACCATGAGGTCCCCACTTTTTCCCGTAGCACGTTTTGCAATAGACATCTCCGTCGGGACCGTCACAAGCAATGATAGAATCCAACGTCTTGTTGCAATCCCTACATTTGAAGCATTTGCGATGCCATTGTCTACCTTTGGCCAAACATTCTTCGGCGGCATAGACCACGCCACCACATCGGGGGCAACCCTGACCTGGTGCGGCTTTGATCTTGGCAGTATCAATTACGGTAGTCTTGGGGGCAGCATTACTGAAAAAATAATAAACAACAACTATAAGACAAACACCTTTTAATTTGCAGTATCGTTTAGTAAGTTGTGCTTTCTAGATGATTTCTATTGCGTTGCTGTGAAAGCAAGGAAGCCTTTAAGCAAATATTTTTTATTAAATTTTGAATATGTAGATTGAGATTCAATAGTTACTATTTGAAATAATGAGCAATACCTTTGGTATTCTAAGTCCATAGCATCACATGTAAGCCCAAGGAATGAAACACCAGCATGTCCTACACCTCTTGGACCAAAGCGCATAGCGTAGCAGGCTAGCAAGCAGAAAAATATTTTATCTTTACAGCAATAAAGCGATAAGCAATCGATATCATTAAGGTACAATTTTGATTAGACTGAACACTTCAAAAACGTGCCTACTATAAATCAAAATTGTTTTGTAAGGATAATGTTGATACGTACGCTTCTAGACTTGGATCGGACTGTAAAGTTCCACCACCCTGACCGTATCCATAGCCTTTGGGTCCAAACCTCTTGCCATAACACACTAAAGAACACAAAAAAGTGATGCAACATCAGGAAATCACATGCAAAATTTCGTTTCAATTTTTTGAAAATTTCATGTATTTCAGTTTTTTATAAAATTTGGTTCAATTTTTTTTATTAATCAATCTAATTATTATTATTCTGATTACTTTATGATAAAAAGGTTCTGAATAATGATTTTTATTAAAATGAAAAGGTTAAAAGTGCTTCACGCACCTCTACAGTAAATTTCCTTATCAGGACCTTCGCAGCAGCTGACAGAGTCGAGTCCCTTTGCGCAGTCGCCACATTTGAAACAGGATTTGTGGAAGGCCTTAAAGGAAGAAGAAAAAAGCACTCTTTAACACACCCCAAAAGAAAAATAAGACTATTTCGATGCAAAACTAAATCATGCTACGTTACATCACGGACTGATCAAAAGAACAAATCAATTTTAGAGCTACTGGGTCTTTTTTATCTACCTCGGCAATAGACTTCTAAATCTGGACCATCACAATGAAGAACTGAGTTCAAAGTTCTATTGCACTGATAGCATTTGAAGCATCTTCTATGAAAACCCTGCCATCAAAATTAACTTTTACAATTTTCTTAACGTACGATAGAGACATTTTTAAATTTGGTGAAGGTGCCGGGAATCCACAATTTATTTTAGTAAATCGATCGAATTATCGACTTTATATCCAAGTGAAAACTAAATCGAAATTGTTTTCGAATAAAAAAATTGAATTTGTAACATACCCTGCCTCTTGCAAGCATTTGTTCGGCTGCATAGACAAATCCTCCACATCGAGGACATCCTTCTCCAGGTGGTGCTTTCGCGATTACCTTGGCGATCAATGGTGCCTTGCTTGAGCCCAAAATTGCGTCACTAAAGAAATAAAAACCAAGTAAATAATACCGCCGATTAGATATTGTTTATAACAACACATCAATGTTAATCCATTTCGTAGTTTTATTTTTAATTTATTTTTTGGTTTGTAAAAATATTTAATATAACAAAAACAGACTCAACGTATTAGTGTCGAAGCGTCAGGCGCCAGCTATAAAGAAAAATAGATTAACAGAAAACGAAAGTGTGAAATATAGTTTTGGAGTGCTGAAGAGAGAACCAATTAATCGAAGTAATGAGAAAAGGCAAAGTAGCTCCTGCTTATTATCATTTATTAAAACACCTATTATTCAGCACCGTTCAAACTTGAGGGCACTTTCCTTAACCCATCACTGAAAATCGGGAAGGAAAATGAAACTTAAAACAAAACAAAAAACGTTCTCTAAGCGATATAGCGGCGTGTAAAGCATGCTATCTACTACTTCACAAAGATATTCTCACCGTCGCGTCGGGTCCTCTAAGTCCTTATACGAAGGCACCCCTGTATGTCGTATTATTAGGAAAATAGATAACAGGAATAGAATGATTTGCACACTTTTCTACATTTAAAGTTCTACTGTAAGATATGAACACCCAAAATCAACATCTATTAAGCCTATGTTATCTCTCTGTACTAACACAATGATTAAACTCAATCGCGTCTCATCTGCGCTGCTGCGCTAAAGAGCCAGTGCAATTTAATATGGAGAGAACTCTCCTAGTTAATTCTTTGCATTACTGCATTCATTAAATTCAACAGAGCAGTGAAGCCGCTCTTCGCGACTCTTTTGCGCTGCTGCGCTGAAGAGCCGCCGATTTAATACAGACTCAATTCTCTTAGTTAACCCTCTGTATTACTGCATTGATCAATCTCAACAGCGCAGTGAAGCCGCCTTTCGCGTGTCTTTTGCGCTGCTGCGCTGGAGAGCCGCTGCGATTTAATACAGACTGGACTCTCTTAGTTAACCCTCTGTATTACTGCACTGATTAAACTCAACGGCGCAGTGAAGCAGCCTTTCGCGGCTCTTATTCGCTGCTGCGCTGAAGAGCCGCTGCGATTTAATACTTTTAGTTGATTCTCTGCAGTACTGCATTGATTTAACTCAAACTGCTCCTGCGATTTAATATCGAGAAAACTTTGCTGCGCCGATGAGCAACCGTCATGCCCGGAGCACTTCAGGTTGCTCCCTACGCAGCTGCGTAAAAGAGAAAAGTATACAAGAATGAACCAAGTCAATTTTTGGGTTCTGACATCCTATAATGTAGTTAGTAATAACAAAGCTAAAAAGAGATGTAATATTTCGAGATAGAATGAAAAAGAAAGGTACTTTTTAGAACATGTTCTCACCGTATTATTGCAGATTTTCTGCTTTGTACCTTTTCCACTAAACGAGCCAGTTCGATCATTCCGACACTGCCAAAAACAAAAATTGGAGTATTCGTTCCCCATCACAAAAAAAAAATTAGGCAAAGATCAAAAACAAGAGAGCAAAAATTTGTTTCCCGTCTATCAGAAAATGTATGCAAACCATCCCGTTTCATTATCATCATCGTCATTTGGCAAGATTCGAACACTGCATTTGTGATTTAATATTATTTTTTATTTTTGTAATATAAATTGTTACATCCTGGTTATAAAATACCGAATGGTGAACAAAATTAAGTAAGACATTTACTTAAAATAAACAATAAGTTGATATAAATCTAAAAAATACAACGTGTAATTTTGGATATTATCATGGAAAGGAAAGGTATAAGAGATGAACTGCGGCTCGGCGATGTTCACGACCCTCGGACCGCAGGCAATACCCATTAAGTCCCTCAGGAGGAGCTGTGATAAAAAGGGAATGTCATGCTTCGAACAAAGGGTAGACTTACATAACACTACAGAGGCATCGGCATTGTTTTTTTTTAATTATGTACCACTATCTGTATTATTACTAATATGTAGGGCGTGCAACACTTCTAATTAAAGCTAAAACAAACAACGTTTCTGCAGCTAATTGAGCAGCTTTGATTAAATCGAAAGTTTAAACAATTATTTGAAAACAGAAAAGGTTCAACTTCTTTAGGAATAATAAGAAGTGCGCCTGCCAGGAATAAGACAAATCACAAAAAAGGGAAAATACATGAATAAATTTCGTAATAAGATAAGGAAAGCCCTCAAATTTGTGAACTACCGTGTGGCTTTAAAACTACGCCTGTATCTATCTACAGTTGTACGTTACATAAAGGAAATCGCAGTGGATATTTTGACATTTAATCTTACCTTCCTTCCAAGTGAGATCCGGTGTCCATGCTAAGGGCACCAGCACCGCCTCCGAAACCATAACCTTTAGGACCGAATTTCCTGGCATGGCAGATTTTGCAGAACAATTCACCTTCGTGTTCGGAACAGTTGGTGGAATCCAAAAGCTTTCCGCAAAGTCCTGTAATTTGATTGAATAAGTAAAACTAATTACTTCAAAATTAATTATCTTACAACGTACTAAACCAAGAAAAAAGTATTTTATTTGGTGTAATAAGTAATTTTTAAACTACTACAGAGGCTAATTAAACACGACTGAGTAAAATATTTCCGTTAAGCCGGCAATATCTTTTGGCTGATTTCTTATACGAGGGTGGATTGATAAGTTTCCGGCCTGACCAAGAAAAACAAGGTTTTTAAAAATTTTTTTTTTTTATTTCTCAACATAATCTCCTCCAAGGCTGATACATTTCTCATAGCGGTGTTCCAGTCTATTAATGCCATCTCTATAGACTGATTCGTCAAGCTCCTCAAAATAACCATTTACAGCTTCGATTACTTCTTCATTGTCCGCAAATCTCTTACCGCCAAGCCATTTTTTGAGATTAGGGAACAGAAAATAGTCACTCGGGGCTAGGTCTGGAGAGTAAGGAGGGTGCGGCATCAATTCAAACTTTAGATCGTTGATTTTAGCCGTCGCAACGATTGACGTGTGCGCTGGTGCGTTATCGTGATGAAACAAGATTTTTTTCTTCGCCAGATGAGGTCGTTTAATTTTCACCTCGTGGCTCAAACGTTGCAATAAGTCTGCGTAGTATTGACCAGTGATAGTATTACCCTTTGCAAGGTAATCAATGTATATAATACCTCTTGCATCCCAAAAAACAGTAGCCATAACCTTGTTCGCCGAAAAAATTGTTTTTGCCTTCTTTGGAGTTGGTTCCCCTGGTCCAATCCACTGTTTAGACTGTTCTTTGGTTTCAGGAGTGTAGTGGTGGACCCACGTTTCGTCAACGGTTACGAATCGACGCAAAAATTCGCTTGGATTACGCTTATACAATGACAAATTTGCGGTAGAAATGTTTTTTCGAATCAATTTTTGGTCGACTGTTAGCAAACGCGGCACCCATCTTGCACAGAGCTTTTCCATATGCAAATGTTGGTGCAAAATATGTTGCACACGTTCATATGACATCTTACAGGTCTCAGCTATCTCACGCACTTTCAATCTGCGGTCTCCCAGCACTATTTGATGAATTTTTTCGATCATATCTGGAGTTGTGACCTCAACGGGGCGTCCTGAGCGAGGCCCATCAGAGGTGCTCACACGACCCTTTTTAAACTCGGAAACCCACTGCTTAACGGTTGAATATGACGGGGAGGATGTCCCCAGTGTTGAGTCCATCTCTTTTTTAATTTCCTTCGGCGTTAACCCCTTCAAATAAAAGTATTTGATGACAGCACGATTTTCCTGCTTTTCCATTTTTACGAAAACCACAGAGGCGTCTTGTTCAGCGTGCTGTCAAACCTACACTAGCAAGGAGATCGGGCTGAAACTATAGCTACAAGCTATCCAAGGATGGTACTATAGAATGTCACCTCAAGGTAGGCCTAGTGGCGTCATCTCTTGGTTAGGCCGGAAACTTATCAATCCACCCTCGTACATAATGCTCTTGAGTCAATTTAACAACATAATTTTGTACAAGAGTCCAGCATAATAATACAACAGAAATAAAAACAATCCCCTGAACTGCCACAAAGCTATAAATACAAAAACAAATATCCAATTCATTACCCCGATATGTTAATATTCATCTTCTTTTTTCTATCAATGACTCTTTTTATTCAACCCTATTCCTCACATACAATTTTTCTTACATATTCTTTTCAATATGATTAGACCACCCCCATCTCAATTATAATCACGTTCTCCTAAAAATTTCCTCAAATTTTCATCCCCCAATTCACGTCTACGAATTCTTTTATCCTTCAACAAAAATTTACAACATTACCCGCGCTCTAAACTATCTAGTTTCTTTTGAACAAATTACATAAAGTTTATTAATGAATATTTATGCACATTTGCAATAACTGTATAGTTATTTGCATTTAAACGCTATCCTTTGGTATTTCAGTAAGTCCTTTATTACAGAAACGTAGCCTTAACTAATACTTTTATCATTAACGTTGATAAGTTGTAATGTTCTACGTAAAAAGTTCTAAAAATTGTAAGTCTGATAGTTATAAGTTTTGCCTTCAAAATTAATTTTACATCTCTTCCCAATTATTTCATTTTCCTTTTTATTCAGTGTCCTTAATACTGTTTGTCGTTATTGTTTCTTTATAAGTGGTTTACTTTCCCTGCTTAAATAACAACTGTCGCAGAAATATTTGAATTTTGACTAATCGAATAGGTGTGTCACTTCAAAACAAAAAAACAATATTTCAAAACGATTTCAGTAATTCGAGCAAAAGTAAGTTTAACAACTATGTATGTTAGTTACGTAAACAGGACGGGTGCCAACAATTTAAACCGCCGATTTTATTTTTAGTTTGCCCGATATACTGGATTGAATGATGTTTTATAAATAGCGGATATACGTTTTCGCTGTTGTATTCACGTGTCTGTTTTGCAAAAATAGAAAGTAAGAAACTCACCGCATTTGAAGCACATCTTGTGCCATTTCAATCCACCAGCTACTCGTTCTTCAGCGGCGTATACTGATTTGCCGCATTTTGGGCATTTGGGGTTTTCAACAGGCTTGAAAGGCATGGTTTTTGGTTACTTGGTCGGTCTGAAATTAACAAATTATATTCGTTATAGTTACTACAATTAATTCATAATTACAATTCTTAATTGAAACATTTATTCCATACACTTTTAATGGTCACATTATGCAAACATCAGAAAATTTGCTTCAATTTGATAATATCTAATAAGATTGATGAATTTTGTGGTTGGATGTCATGTATTATCATCTTAGTATTAGAATTTAGAGTATTTGTGAACTACAACTTTATTTTCTTTACTAATATCGATTACATTCACGTAATACTAATGTCTTAATCAAACAATAAATATTTTAACTAATAACCGATAGCATCGTATAAATATTTTTGTTTAAATTTTGAAAAGTTGAATTATTTATAATCTCTCTGTGTAATGTAATATGTAGGTAGGTACTACAATTGAATTCCGTTTAATTAAATGAAACTTTGATAGCCAATTTTAATTTGTTCAAATCTGTTTTCACTTTTCTTAGAATATTATTTTTGATTTAAAATTTCCATCTTCGGAAAATTTTCAATATTTAAAATAATAATAAACATCAGAATTTGTGTGGGCCGATATGAGTCAACATTTACATAATATGAAACGTGTTTTCTTTTGCCGAAAATAAACTTGCAATGTAGACTGGACGTTATCCAGAACTCGGCCGATATTGTTGAAAGTATGTTTAAATTTAGCTTTTGAAATAGTAGTAGGTAGAGAGCAATATAGGCCTGGTACCAAATAAGGCTGTTCCCGAAGGAGTTTTAAGTAACACAAGAGCTTAGCGCGTGCGCAATTAAAATAGTAAAGTCCTGTCTGGTTTCCGCCATTATCACTAAATGTAGTCTTTTATCACTGACGTACGTATGCATTCTGATTATGTTGTGACCACTAATTTCACTCGCGATTTCACAAAAACGTTCGCTTTTTGTCACTTTTTATCAAATTATAACCTACCTGTTCTTGTTCGTTTGGTAGGGAAGTTGGAACGCTAGCTCCACTGTTTCTGGGACTTGCTTTCCTGTAACTTTCTACCACCGTAATTCGAATGACTAGGAAGGGCTCCGCTACGGCCTAGTCTATGTCCTAATTTTTGCACACGGCCCTTAGTTAAGACAGAGGGGGGCTACGCAACGCTCGGAATAGACATTTGAGCAATACGCTATTTTTGTTGGATGAAAAAGTGATAGGTGAGCTTTTACCATAAAATCGCTTCCTTTCAAAGACATGCATTTGATCACTATTCAGGAGACACGTCATCGGTGACTCTTCACCCCCGAAAACTGTAATCGTTTCCAAATTTTCTACTCGATTTTATTATTAATAATGAATTTTCTATATCATATTCTATTATTTGTCACGTATGAACACAGGTGTACTTCTGGCCATTTTCCACTCTAATGGTGGGAGTAATTCTAGTATTCGTAACTTTACACTGTCTTAATAATGTTTACTTGATCCTTACATTTCTATTTAACCATTTTTTTCCAAAAATTAACCATCGGTTAAATACTTACTAAATCAAAATAGTTAAAAACTATTACAACTAAAATAAGAAGAAACATTTAACTCGTTTTTTGATAAATTTCCTATATTTATCTATCACATATACCCATGGTTATACTTCTTATCGTATTCCACTTCTCAAAAATATTTTTAACTATACCAACTATCATTAAAAACAGGGAAAACGTAATTTTTTAAACGTATTCCCTAAGGGGGCTTTCCATGTAACAAAACAGTAGGTCATAATATGCTTGACTAATAACAAAAAGCTTTTCTTTTTAATAATTTAGATCCCTTCTATAATATTAGGATTTATTCTATACCACGGAAAACAAATTCCATCTTCGACAAAAATGTAAAAACGTATAATCATCGTGTATTATCAATTAGAATTAAACTAAGAAACAGATAAAAATTATTTTAGTGTTATACTTTCTTTCTTTCTTTCTTTCTTTCTTCTACTTGAAGAATATTCTTAGGGGGGCTTCGACATGGACCGTTGAATGATTGTGAAAACTCATCAAAAAATATGTCTTGTAAAACTATCTGTACTATTTGTTTTCTATCTTGTTTATGTTCCAATAACATCGATTGTACCAACGTGCTAGATGTTTACTCTAATGAAAGATATTTTACTGATGATGTGCCAAAGATAAGTAGTAATTTAAAGCCACTGCACATTATAACTGTCGTTGACAGGGCATTTCAGAGCAAATAAATGCTAGGTATGTATGCATTCGAAAACATTTCAATGATACATTAATTAAATCAATCAATTAATTAAAATATGTCGTAAAATCTTTTTCGTTTCTTTAAAGGTTTCTTATTATAACTGTTTACTAAAAATGCGTACGAAAAATTATTGATAATGGACACACATTTATTGCTATTTGCAGCAGTTGTTTGGTAAATCATTAGTGGTAAGTAAAATTGCTTTTGGTTTTGGAAAACTGGAAGACCAAGAGCAAACTCTGCCTTTATATTAGAAAGACAAAGACCAATATCAAACGAACAAGACCAAGATTAAAACTAAGACCGAATATGCAAAACCTAGACCAAATACACAGGACTAAACGAATAATTACTACTTTCCTTGGTTTTATAAGTTAAACTATTTTAAGCAACTTTAATATATTCTTTTTCTTGAGTATTTGAAATTTTCAGTTTGTTATTCTAAATTTTAACACTAAATATAAAAGAAAGGAGACTTTACAACTATTTGAAAAAGGGGATCTACAAGAATATCCTCGGAGTAAGTGTTCTTTGTTCCTGTCTGGATAGCACATGGTTGATATGTTAGAGTAACTACCTTATACTGTTTTTTTCGCTAAATGATGGCAAATGATGAAGATAACGTGGGTAGAAATGAAGAGGTATTAGAAAAAATAGGAGAACAGAGGACTCTATGGAAGTCAATAAAAAATAGGCGAGATAGGTTGGTAGGACACCTTCTCAGGCATGAAGGTCTAGTCAGAGACATATTANATATTATTTTTAAGTGTGCTTCTACTGCATCTACTTTAATTTAAGAAGATGTTCTTTTTATTCTTGTCTACTTAATGGGTACATCAGTGTAATATAAACAACGTGTTGTCAAAATTTTTAATATAAGTTATTTGTGAAACTAAATAAAGTAATGATACAATACAAGATCGAATATTTATTTTTAAAAATTATTGCATTCCGTGATTTTGAGAACTTTGAAGATACGAAAACACTCACCACGATTTGTAAACATAATGATTCAAATGCCAGCTGTTGTTAGCTACATATTAAACTAATTTTATAACTGCCCAGCTTCAACAGTAACTCTTTCAACCTATTATAAAAAAATACCGGTGCCAAACGAAACGCAAAAAATTTTACAGCATCATACGTACCTACTAATAAAAAACGTATTTCTATCGAAAAAAAAATAATTTCAACTTTTATGGTTTCTACGAAAAACACAAATTAATTTTAGAATAATGTTTAGCCTTGTTAACTTGGGCAATATAGGGGCATCTGTCGTCAGATGTTTTAGTTTCGTTTAATTGAAGGGTGAGTTCTCGAATTCGCCGTTAAAAGCACACCCTATATTATCCTGCATGATGTGCAAGGGAAGGAAGAAAATCAATAGGCAGGCAAGATTTCTAGCTCGTCCTGCAGGAATCATTTCTAACAAATATTGGCAGATGGGACTAGTATATCCGAATGACTCCTAATTTCCATAAATCCTTGAGGACACAAAATTATATTATGATTACTAAAGGATTGTATAGCTACCTTTGTATAACATTTAAAAATAGAAAAGAGATCAGACAACAAAGAAAAATATTCCGATCTTTTTATTTTTATCTAGAAATCCAAAACAATTATTATAAATCGATGATGCAATTAAGATGAAACATGTTAAGATTTGTAATAAATTAAGGCCCCATGGTCAAAACAATTGTAATACCTGTATGCCTAACGAATTTTCAAATCAATTAAAAAAACACCAATACTTTGTGTCGCAGAATCTTTCAAAACTTTCTATAAAAGCATTTTTAATGAAAAATGGACTCTCACGTGTTAATTATTAAACTAGCGCCTATTTGCCAACCAAAATGTACTGTACAGGTACATAAATTTTGTGTAAGCAATTACACGTTTTGGTGGCATTAATTGTTGTTCAAAACTTGTAAATTTAGAATTGAAAAGCACGTACCTACATAATACTTAAGGCAAGATGAAAATTTAATTCTGGGCACCACCCACAGATTGTCTCGGTGGTGACCAAAATATTTTTGTACTATTGCCAGCAAACCGTTTCGATTTTATCTCTGTATGGAAACCGTTGAAGCCATTGCTAGCAGAGTGGTTGAAATTTCTAAATTTAAAAATAGCCTTCCATCACCTGCATTAATTCGTGTTTGCAGGAAATCTGCCGCTTAATTAGTTTGTTTGGTAACCAAGCACTAGTGCTGTCAAACAGCTGCACAATATGTAGGTACCTACTAATAACGCACCTTCCGATTCTACATCCAAACAATGTTAATTTAAATTAATTCACTTCATGTATCTATTGAAATTAACTCTAAAACAATCTTCTAAATGTTTCATGGAAGTCATTAAGAAATATGCGAGATAAGTTGGTAAGACACCTTCTCAGGCATGAAGGTCTAGTCAGAAACATATTAGAGGCAGAAACGGGCGTTATGAAGGGTAGAAGTAGACCTACCCGAGATAAAAATGTTCAGTCTCTCAGAGTCTCTAAAAGCGAGACTCGAGCCTTCGTCTCTCATCGAGTCTCTCTGGTGTCGCTGAGAGAGAATGTCGAGAGACCGTCAAAAAAACTGTTTAGCGTCTCTGAACGAGAGACTCAAGACGCTTATAGAGAGATCCTCATTTCGTATCCAGTCTCTCAACGAGAGACTCGAATCTCTCAATAAGTGGTGTCTCGATAGACATGGTTAAAATTTTCCAAGTTCAACATATTTCAGAGATCCCAGTCTTTCTACGAGAGACTCGAGGCTCTCAATTTTTCAGTTTTATTCTTTCAGTCTCTCTGCGAGAGACTCGAATCTCTAAATTAACAATTTTATGGTGCGAGTCTCTCATACAGGGACCGTGAGAGATCCATAAAAACACCTAGGCAATAACTGAGAGACTGTGAAAGACTGTGGGAGACGCTGAAACACTCTGAGACACTGGAGAGAGACTGAAAATTTTTGTCTAGGGTAGATTAGATTTCTGCTCGCAGTTAAGGTTGTGGGTTGTTGTAGTTTTAAGGAAATGCAAAAAATATGATGATAATGAAATATCTCATTATTAATAGTAATTATACATTGGTTCCACGATTCTGTGATCCACGTAGTTTACTTTTGTAACTTCTCATAGCTTAGTGGTATAGTAATGAACCAGGGTTCGAATCCCGGCGAGGGCGTGACAGTAGCAACAATTTTTACGCATTAATTTGAAATTATCTGTAGTGATATCAATTAAATCAATTTAACGTAATTAATTTAATTAATAAAGAGAAAACCAGCTGACCAAGAGAAACCTGAAGACAAATATTTTAAAAAAGGCAAAAGGTATACGTAGAACACAAACAGATAAGTTTTGTTGAACCCGGATATGCGCGAATATATTCGAATATTGTTCGTTGACAGAAGTTTTATTTTTGTCTAGTTAATTTTGTTCTCGACCTGTAAAATAACCGCAATAATCCTTAAGTATTGTAACAGCATCTTCTGATGTTTTAGATGAAGCGCACAATTTATTATTACACCTTATATTAGGCGATCAGGACCACGGTTCTGTCTATCTTTAGATCCTTTATTATTAGCCCAAGTATTCACGTTAGATACCATAACTGCTTTCATTCATTTTACTTTTTATCTTGCTTTGGATATTATTTTTAAGTGTGCTTCTACTGCATCTACTTTAATTTAAGAAGATGTTCTTTTTATTCTTGTCTACTTAATGGGTACATAAGTGTAATATAAACAACGTGTTGTCAAAATTTTTAATATAAGTTATTTGTGAAACTAAATAAAGTAATGATACAATACAAGATCGAATATTTATTTTTAAAAATTATTGCATTCCGTGATTTTGAGAACTTTGAAGATACGAAAACACTCACCACGATTTGTAAACATAATGATTCAAATGCCAGCTGTTGTTAGCTACATATTAAACTAATTTTATAACTGCCCAGCTTCAACAGTAACTCTTTCAACCTATTATAAAAAAATACCGGTGCCAAACGAAACGCAAAAAATTTTACAGCATCATACGTACCTACTAATAAAAAACGTATTTCTATCGAAAAAAAAATAATTTCAACTTTTATGGTTTCTACGAAAAACACAAATTAATTTTAGAATAATGTTTAGCCTTGTTAACTTGGGCAATATAGGGGCATCTGTCGTCAGATGTTTTAGTTTCGTTTAATTGAAGGGTGAGTTCTCGAATTCGCCGTTAAAAGCACACCCTATATTATCCTGCATGATGTGCAAGGGAAGGAAGAAAATCAATAGGCAGGCAAGATTTCTAGCTCGTCCTGCAGGAATCATTTCTAACAAATATTGGCAGATGGGACTAGTATATCCGAATGACTCCTAATTTCCATAAATCCTTGAGGACACAAAATTATATTATGATTACTAAAGGATTGTATAGCTACCTTTGTATAACATTTAAAAATAGAAAAGAGATCAGACAACAAAGAAAAATATTCCGATCTTTTTATTTTTATCTAGAAATCCAAAACAATTATTATAAATCGATGATGCAATTAAGATGAAACATGTTAAGATTTGTAATAAATTAAGGCCCCATGGTCAAAACAATTGTAATACCTGTATGCCTAACGCATTTTCAAATTGAACTTTAAATAATATCCAATAATCAGATATTAATGTGAAATAGACGAAAATAGATCGAAATACGATATATAAATTTCAAATTGATTCTTCTAGCTTTAGAAGAAGAAAATGTTTGATTTAAAGCTAACAAAACATTTGAGTTATATAACACTTATTTCTTCCACCTGAACAATGCACTAATTATTATTGTGCTAACAGTTAATAAAAGTGTTTTAAAACTTAAACGGTGTTCGTTTTCGTCCTTAATATAATGGAGTTGCATGATCTGAAAGGTTTTTGCAACAAAACATTGTTGCAATTTTTTCTGAATCCAAAACATCAATAAGTAATGTTACTAACAGATCTTCTGGCAATTCCCCGATATTTGAACAAGTGTTTAAGCATTTGTTTATCTAATACGTAACAAAAACGAAAATAAACCATAGCCAATGGAATTCATAATATCGTAGTAAAGTATTTTGGCTCATACACTCGGACGCTGTTAATCTGACACCACATTTCCACATTTAGGGAGATCGTTAATATAACTCCACCCACGCATTAACATATTTATCATACCAGAACCAAATAATACGCAATAACTTATAGATACAAAAAAAAAATGAGGGGAAACTTTTGGAATAGTTTTATTAAATAAATAAAAATTATTTATTTGATAGGCGATCGCTTACATTACATCCATATTAATAAAAAATATACTTTCTAAACGTACAAGTATGTATAAAATAAGTTATATAATAATTGGGTAAATGTCCTTTATCCTTCGGTAATTATCGCAATTACTTTCCAAGGATGATTTTCCTGCCTGCGCCCATGTTCTGGCCGGCTTGGGAAGCTCCCTTGTTGGTACCTGCTTGAAGACCGATTACGGTTTGACCAGATTTCAATTGTTCTTCTGTGAACTCTGGGTGATGTTCGTCAGCTGGTTTTGGTCCAAGTCTTGGGCCCTTATATTCGGGATGTTTATAGGTTGCTCTGCCGATAGCGAATAGGGTGTTCGTCACCTGGGCAATATCCTTCTTTTCGTACAAATCAACGGTTTGGAATACATCAACGTCATGAACTCCGTAGCGTTTGATAGCTTCTTGGAAGCTGAATAACAGAATTATTTTTACAATTCTTCTGTAAAAATGTCGTTTTCCTTTCTACTTACTTATTGATGTTCTCCATGAATTTGAATTGACCGCCGGAAGTGTTAACTTTTGGTACAGATCCAGGGGCAAGCTTGTTGATGAGCTCGCAGAGAATGACACCATCGCGGAGCACATCTTCGTACAATTGTCCAGCAGGGAATTTTTTGCCCAATACATCTTCTATCCATTTCTGGGCTTCCTTGTCTTGTTCTGGGTTACGCTTAGCAGCGAGCTGAATACGCCAAAGATTATCAATAAATGTATTTTTCGCAAAAAGGATTATTAATTGTATTAGGTCAGATAATAATTTTCGACTTGTAATATTAAGCTAGGTGTTAGTGGGTCAAGTGTGTATAAGAAATGTAGATATTTTCATACCTTGGCTTTGACTTGACGTTCTAGAGACATGTTGGTGTAGCTTTTTTGTGTTTTAGTTGCGTTTATGTGAGTTAACTTTAAGTGTAAAATTAAACTGAGCTCTGTTGAAGATTTTGAAGCTTATATACCAAGCACGATTTTCAAACGCAATTTCCCTCTCTCACTGCGAAGCGTCACAAATACAACTGCCCACCGATTTTCCTCCGAGTAAGCACTATATTTGGTAGACTATTGGATTTATTATGGTTTCGACCAATTCCACTAACTCCGTCCGATGGAATTTTTGGATTACTCAGAAATCACTTTGACATCTTGTTACTCCTTTTTTCTATTTTCTTGGATTAATTTTTGTTGTCGTTCTTGTCAGTAGGTATATGTAGTCAGTGTGGGATTTTTCAAAGTACAATCAGCGAAAAATATAAATGTGAATAGATATCAAGCCAGATGGATAGGACGGTCAGTACAAGTTTCTACGTTAACATAAATATTTATTTCAATTTTATGATCGTATAATCAATGTTGCTAAAATTATATCGTATGTGCAGCTTCTGTACCTAAATCTAAAACGTTTTAAACTTCATGTTTTTGCAGTTAATGTAAAGTAAAAAGCAATTATATTTTTCATTAATTGTACTAAGGAATTGCCGAATTTTAGCTTCTCATATATGTATACGATATTTGCAAAATTTTCTTTCAACATTTAAAATAAAAAAATGTAAAAAATTCGGGTTGGATTCGTAATAATCTACGTAATCTACTAACAGATTGAGAGGTAAAGATAATAACGAAAATAACGAAAATCTTCTTTCATAATTATTTTTTATTCATCATGTACACAATTTTCACTTAATCATTTATTTTCTACGCTACCCTAGTTGATGGACTTGATTTTATAAATTAATTAAAGAATAAGGTCTGCTAATTTTACAATATAATTATATT